ATTTTTAAGCTCATCATTATGCAGTTTTCTCCACGCCCCATCGTCTTCTCTCCTAGGCCCAAATATCCTCCTCAAACACCTGCAATCTGTGTTCCTCCCTCTGAGTGAGAGACCATGTTTCGCACCCATACAAAACAACAGACAAGATTATTGTTATTAAAATTATACACGCGTGTCATGTCTTCGGGAATGAAGTCTCGATTTGTGTTCCCTCGGATGTCACCCACCGCCTCAAGCGCGGCCTTGGGTTTCTCGTGAGTCTTCAGATGTGGAGGGGAAATGACAGGGAATGAGCAGTTGCGGACGCTCGACAAGGGGTGGTACTCCGGCTTGGGAGTGGGGCGGTGAACTAACAACTCACCGCCGTGAAAGCGCTGTGAAGTATTTTTGTCATTTTATTATCATCGTTATTTATCAGCGTTCTAGTGACGTCACATGAACGTGTTCTTAGCTTTTGAGACTTCAGTTTAGTACAGTTTCTGTGTATTTTATGACATTTATGCCTTTTCCAAACAAATTATTATTATTAGAACAACACATAATATTATGTATCCCATTTAATTCCAGTCATGGTTTTTGTTCATGGCGTGTTCTAGAGCAGTGGTATTCAACCTGGGGTACGCGAAGACATCTTAAGGGGTACGTGAAATTTAAAAAAAAATATTATTTTATGATAAACACTGAATAATCAGTAATGTAATTTATTTAATTTATTTTAGATGTAGATTATATACTACGTATAACTTGAATTATACACCAACAACTTTGGGGGTACAAAATTGAAGAGAAATTATATCTGGGGGTACGCGAACAAAAAAAGTTTGAATACCACTGTTCTAGAGCAGAATTGGTAATAACTGGCAGTGAAGAATCTCCATTTTGGACCCGTTTGCATCCGTTCGGAGCGTCTGTACGCATGAAACAATTCGAGGACTGAACGGATTTTCATTAAATTTGGTATTAAGGAGTTTTGCTGAGCTCTGAAGACGCATGCCAATTTTGGTGAAAACAGTGCAGCAGTAACGAACACTATACACGAAGACCTACAAGCGTACATCTCCTAACTTGTTTTATATTTTTATTAACGAAGTGATCTACAGGTCGAAGATTATGTAATTACATTGACGACCGCTCGCATGATTTTACAAACAGCGTAATAATAGTTGATAATTTTTTGATAGGTTAATATTCTGTTAATTAAATTTTGGTGGTGTCTGTGGTATGTTTTAGATTCTGATATTAACATTAATCTCGCGGCGTACGACCAATAGAAATCGATCACGTAGAAGTTATGAAGGCGGTGTTGTGTTTAGGTACAGTTAATAATATGAGTTGTAGTTAATCCTTTGTCGGTAGGCTCACAGCAATCTCACACCGATTCTCATCTCGACGTCTTGGCGTAATTCGTAATTGCAGGCCAGATAAGGAATCCTTTTATCGTGGGTTCCTGTTGAGTTGATCTGCTTACTACAGCATCGTGAGCTGTCTAGGAAGTTTCTTCTGGGAGGCCAATCCAGTTTCACGTTAGCTTTTATAATAATTTAAGAGTCGTATTTCCTGAAGACGGATAATGAATGTATTGTAGTTGGATTAATGGTTGAAGATTTCTTGCGTTGGGGTTGATTTGTTGAGTCGCCATGCACTTGCAGAATAATCGCGTGATATTCTGTCTATCTACATGACTTGTAAGTGTATTGACGTCTTCAGATTGGAAGGTAGTTACGAATACGAGGTGCGATCGGAAAGTTTCAAGACTGGGCGTATAAAAACCCGTACACTTATCTCAGGTATTAAATTCATCCATCACCCTCGAAGTAGTTCCCCTGGGAGTGAACACAACGATCCCA